TAAAGAAATGAAAAAAAAAAAATTAGTCCAAAATCGGAGCCTGGTTTCCTCCATCCGTTTGGGTTTGGCAACCAATGAGGTGGTTTCGCGCGTAAGAAAGTGACACGTGGGATTCCTCATGTGCATCACCAACTTGGTCCAACTCTATCTGTTCTTTTTTCTTTTCAACTGCCACGTGGTCGAAGCGGAGCAAGTTAACGGTACCAGAACAAATATACACGTGGCATGACAGCTGGAACGGTGATTGGCTTTCACGTTAATGTACGCCGCTGATTAATCCATTTGGATGGGCCCTCACCAACAACCTTTATTTATTCCAATTCTTTTTTTTTTTTAACAAAATCACTTTATTTACCTCTATGCAAATCACCACCAATATGTTATCTAAACTTTGATTTGATATAAATAAAATTTGTTTGATAGATTTTTTTTTTTTTAAATATTTGAAATATGCATAGAGAGAAAATACAAGCATGGATGATATTTGATAAGAAAAATATTGAAACGGGCTGAACAAATGTAATATAAAATAAATTAGTAACGACTCAAGAACAAAAATATATTAACAAGTTAACAACTATCAAACGAGTTTTTCAAAATGTTACATAAATGAAAAGAAAGATTCTACATAATTTTCCTCACTTGTAAAAAAGAAATTGCCACAAAAGTTTAAAAAAACCCAAGATTGATGATATTTTTCATAAAGCAATTACAAAAATGCCATTTTTTGTGTGCACATTTACAAAAATGCCACTTAGAAATGTCCATTTGCAAAAATGCCACTAATTATAGATTTATAAAGTCTATATCTTAAAATTCTAAACCCTAAAAAATGTTTTGACCCCTAAAACCCCCTAAACTCTCATAACTAAATTCTAATAGAACATAATTAACCCAAACATAAATGATATAAAGAAAAATAATTTTGAAAAAGTGGCACTTTTGTAAAGATTTCAAAAGTGTGGCATTTTTGTAATATAACACTTGAAAAATGATATTTTTTGAAATTTCCCATTTTT